CATTTTTTTTAGAAGTCTTTCTCTTGGTACTCGTAGCATTTTTGCAGTTTTCATATTGAATTAGACGAAGAAATGGTTCGAGGCATGAATATATTGTTATTAGTTCGCATCTATTAAAACCGGTGAACTGTTCTAATTCAGAGTTACTGAGAGAATCCCATTGAAACATCATTCATTGATTAAATATTCAGAGCGAACTATATTCAGTAGACTGTGCAAAAACGGTGCTGACACGCTTTATTGCAAAATTAGGAATCGAAAAATATGACGGAAAGAGGCGAGGAAATTTTTTCACATTTATCGTTTCAACCAGTTAGCGATAGCCGTCGGTAAATTCTTACCCGTAACTCGTTGTAAATTAATGTTGATAATTCTATTTTGCTTTCAATGCGCCGTGCTTTGTATTAAAATAAAACCCCTAAATTGTAAGTTGTTCGAAACAATCAAGATTTTACTCTACTTTCTTTCATCAAGTATCAAAAATTAACATATGATACAAGAGAGCAACGCTCAAATATATGAACACGTAGACGAGAGCGAATCAGTCCTTACCGGTACCTCCGATACCATCAAGAAAATTCTAGATTTTCATTAGCAGAAATTTTGCAGAATCAAAACGTACAGCAAGTCTTCACGCGGACTAAAATCCGTGCTCCCATGGATAAAAAAAATACAGAGAAATTTTGGACGAAATATCAAATTTAATAGAATTCATACAAAATTTAGAAATAAATAAAAGTAATAGCCTGCTAGAAAAAAATTCAATCTTCAACTACTGAAAATTTTAGAACAATTGATCCGGTAATCAAAGAGAAAAGCAACTTTTTAAATTTCCCACTAGGTGTCCGAAAAGTGTCAAAGAACAACAACATAATATTGAAACGATCGCTCTGTTCACTACGTGTTCAATAATGGGGCATATTATACTTACCTTGCAGGCGATCGCCGCTTATATTCGGGCAATATAATCTGATGTTGCATGCCCCCGAAAAAACGTTAGCTGGTGTTAGTGTAGCCATATCGAGGACTTGCACGGGTCACGTGACATTGTTTACTGGACGGCAATAAAACAAAAACGTCCATTTGGCTCCTGTCAGTTGCAAGTCGGATTATTCGTTTCCGTTTTGTTTGGCTGTTGAAAATGGTTATTTCGTATTGTTCCGCTGGCTGTACGTATAGTATAACTATAGACAACGAAATGGATCTTCAGTTATATTCCACTGTTTTCAAAAGATCCGGAACGTCGCGCAATGTGGATATCATCTATTGGCAGGACTGCTTGGTGTCAAGTCCAGAAGCTATCTCACTTGTGCTTCACTGTTTGCGAACAGCACTTCGTTGATGGTGAGTCATAATGTGCCGTTATCAATTTTTTTAAATATTCATAAGCTCCCTCATTTCAATGGAAAGCAGATGACAAACTACTGTTATTGGTAGGCCGAGGCGTAGGCCTACTTGCAGACTTGACTCGTGTAAGGTATTAATCAATAATTGCCATAAGGTATTGTTTCCCTAGTTAGCAAGTAATCTATTAGTAAGTGTGAAAAGTTGAATAGATAACTAAAGTTTGAATTCGCCATCTACGCTCGCCACCGCATCTCTGATCCCCCTGCGAGTTTCACAGGTTCCAATCCCATGCGGGGATAGTTCAACAAATTCTGTTAACTTGCATGCGTTGCAATATTACTTTACAGTTGTTAGCATAAACATTTAATGTGTCTTTCAACTAGACCTACCACACTTTAAAAGAAGCCGCCTACACCCCTTTTCACTAGAACCATAATACTGTGAAATATTTGATAGAAATTACCCCCGAGGCATCATATCTTCCATTTGAAAGGCCTGTGGAGGCAGATACATTTTTTACTCTAAATTATGGAATGTTACTTCCAGGTTATCTTATTCTTGCCTATAGATATCTTGAGGTCAGTGACTCCAACTGACCCATGCATGCCACACTGAAAATTCTCTTGTTTACCGATAAAATTAGGCTGTTGGAGCCTTCAGACCTTGAAAACAGTCGAATCTGAGCACGATGGATTCATGTGAAACACGTAATATGCATTTATAGGCAAAAATATCCCATCCTGAGCAGCACCGATCCACAACCTCCTGCCTATGGAATCAAAACATTAGACAAATCGGTGTACTGTGCGCATTCACAAATCTTTGCGAATCAAGTGTGCCTTTTGACTAAAGAAAATTTAGCATTGAAATGGTCAATCTCAATATCAACTTAGTATCTGCAGATAAAACCAATTGTTTTTTAAAAATACATTTTTGATGTGCTTTATTTTTCAAATATAATTCATAATTACTGTAAAGTGTGTGATACATTTGGTACCATATGAATACCATTTGCAAATTATCTTGGGTTACACCCCTCTCAAATAAAAGTTTAGACTCTTAAGTCATATCTCATAATATTCTTTAAACAAAATGTTGCGGCTAGCCGGCTACCCATCAGAATTTTCTTTCAGATCACAAAGAAATATTACGCCTCGCTAAGTAGCATTGGCAACTGTATCTGGTTGTAGTATCGGTGTCCAACTTTAGACTGAAACCTTCATCACCAGACCCACCGAAACAATTTTTTTTCTTGATAGGGTCGTCTTGAAGTTGCTTTCGTTAAAGCACAATGGACACTTTATCTCCTCCAATCCACAGTAATCACAAGTTACTTTGTCATTACGACAAGCATCAATAAATGGATACTGAGGATGTATTATCAAGTCACGCAAGCTGAGGTTTTGTGCCACTGTGGTCTTGTTGCAACGTATACTTTGCCATCCATCTATTCCATGGTCGCACCCATATCTGTAAGATAATGGATACAGATAGAGTTGACCAATGACAATAAAAAGACATTTTGGATAAGTTGTACAAGCACCATTAGGATTGGGGGGAGCCAGTTATTTGTTTTCAGAAGCATGGACTTGAATGGTAGGGAATGGTCGTAACCGATCAGCGGTCATGTGAACCACCCTCGGTGGGAGTAGAGCTGCAATCCTCTCGCACATAACTATCCCCGCATGGGATTGAAACCTGTGAAACTACCGGAGTGATCAGAGATGCGGTGGCGAGCGTATTCCTAGATGGCGAATTCAATTGAATTCTGGTTATTTTTTCCAGGCCCCACGGTGTTAAACTTTAGTTATCTATTCAACCTTTCACACTTAGTAATAGATTACCTGCTAATTAGGGAAACATAGCAATTGATTATTAATTCCTTACTGTCTTACACAAGTCAAGTCTGAAACTGCAAGTAGGCCCACGCCTAGGCCTACCAATAACAGTAGTTTGTCATCTGCTTTTCATTGAAATAAGGGAGCTTGTGAATATTTAAAGAAATTGATAACGGCACACTATCACGACATTATCACTCACCATAAACGAAGTGCTGTCCGCAAACAGTGAAACACAAGTGAGATGGCTTCTGGACTTGACACCAAGCAGTTCTGCCAATAGGCAATAGATCAGGGTCGGCCAAACATTTTGGCCGACGGGCCATATTTAGTTTACTATTAATTGCGCGGGCCACATGGTTATTATGTTCTAGTTTTGCTACACTGACTAAAAGTTAATGAAAAAACAAACAAAACCCTTGCACCAAACTTTTTCAATAATAAGAACAATAAAAAAATGAAAATACAGTAAAGTCAACAAAGTTTTTTTCTACACGTAGATATTTTAGTGTGAAGTTTGGCACTGTTTTTTGCTAACAAGTTTGTCAATATTTGCTGAGATGGACGATGTAGGAATGCGAAGCGAATTTTCCATATGACTATCAGAAATTAGTGATCTCACAGGGGATTTGACATGGTTCATATGTGAAAAAACTTGCTTGTACAAGTAAGTGCTGCCAAATAATGAGGTCATTAAAACTGCCATTCTGCCCAAGGGTGTAAGCGACTATTTATGTATCGATATCTTCCAGTTGGTTTCTATTCAAAATGGCACTCATGGCTCGTTTGAAAGGGCCAGCAGAGCGCATTTCAGGAAAATGAACAAATTGTTTGTATCAAATCTTCATATTAATTACATCACTCGAAAAATAGAAGTTTTACTCCTTTTTTTATTTAATTCCGAAAATACAGCGCAGGCCACTCGGAACTCCTCGGCCACGGGTTGGACGAACCTGCAATAGATGATATCCACATTGCGCGACGTTCCGGATCTTTTGAAATCAGTGGAATATACCTTAAGATCCATTTCGTTGTCTATATATTATACGTACAGCCAACGGAACAATACGAAATAACCATTTTCAACAGCCAAACAAAACGGAAACGTATAATCCGACTTGCAACTGACATGAGCCAAATGGACGTTTTTGTTTTATTGCCGTCCAGTAACAAAGTCACGTGACCCGTGCAAGTCCTCTTTTTTTCGCATTGGACAAAAATGATTTGGATTCACATGGAAATTATATCTGCACCTGCAATATTTTTTTATGTTGCTGCTGCTGGCATGACCCTTGACCCCAGAAAAATTCTCTATGTACAGTACTATAAAATTTGGGATGCTTATTTTGCAAGTGTTTTAGAGATTTGACACTTGAAAAACTGATTTAGGCTACATGCTCAAAACCATTATTTTCATTAAAATATACAATCACGTGCCGCCCGCGCGTACTGATAGTTAATTTAGTCTATCGCTGCTTCTCCGAAACTAGTTTTAGATTATTGCTACTAAACTAAAACTCATCGGAAGACAGAACTAAAAGCAAAATACCCCATTTACAACTAATTTTTGGAAACACAACTGAAACTGACAAATAACAGGCAAAACCGCAAAAAACGAGGCAATGTTCACGACCATGCTTGAATATTTGTCTGAGCAAACGAAAGATCTGAGCGTCTGCAAAAATTTACAATTGTTACGTCGACTTTTTTATCATTGTTACGGAAATCAACCCTAGGAGAAACATCCGGTATAACAAAAATAAATGTGCAGGCTTCTAGGAGACTACTCTTTGCAGTTGTTATGACAACACGCCGCCGCATTCTTATCCTGCTCCCATTGTTTTATGACGTTCTGATTTTCTAGGTTGTAAAGTTATTCGTTACTTTTACTGTTTAACACATATAAGGTATTTGTATAAGAGAATGTATGACGAAGAAGGAGAAGATGAACCTAAAAGTTCTTTTCCTACTTACGTAGCGGAAGGAGACAAACTTTATAACGCGGGAGAATTTCAGAAAGCATTGGAGAGTTATACAACGGTATAAACTTCCATTTACAGATTTACTTTATTTTCTTGTTGTCTCAATTTATATTTAATTTATAACAATATATGGCAACAAATTATTCAATAATTTTTATTTATATACCCTAATTTTCGTCAGTATTTAAGTACCGTATATTCTGATATCACGGTATCAGGATATCTGAATGTTTACGCACAACACAAAGTTCTTAAGTTGAAACTTACCAATTTTTAGGAACTTTGTTTAATTAGAACATCTGTAATTATTACCCGGAAAGAATCACTGTCTAATCGACCGCTGGCCCTAATGACTGTTGCCATTTGCTCGATATTTCATAGATGTGTTGCATATTGAGAGATTAGTGATTAATATGGATTTTTTTCTTCATCTAATAGAATTCTTAAAAAAAAAACTCTGTAGACTTTTTCGAAAAGTCTGTCACACATGCGTCGGCTGTCACATGTCAGCATTCATCCTTTTTTGCTAAAAACTTGTGAATGCTATGATAATTTTTTTTTGGTGAAACAAATTATTTTTTCCTAGTAATCCAATTACAGAATTATAGCTTTATTAGATTTTCTTTCTTTTAGTTTATTGTGTGGTATTGGTTTGCGTTTGGTGGGGATATGGAGGCGCCAGCTTGTCTTGTAAAGGAGGGGTTTGCATTCATCCTTTTAGTTAATGTCTTTTAATATAGGAGTTATTCTTGGAATCGAAGAACTGTGCTGAGGTAATAAAATCTCGTTCTTCCAATTATCTAACATGGATTGCAGAATCGACGATTTCCCTGTATAACTGAATTAATCTTGCCTTTCACTTTGAAGCTCTTTCTATCATACCTTGATATTAGTCATTAATGTTGAAGCAATGGTATATTCACAGCCAGAATCACAATTTGTTATTTGCAACAGGATTTTCTTCTGCCTGGTTTCATTCAAAACATAGACTTATCCTGAATTTGTTTTTAATTATATCCAATAGTTTCCAAAGAGTATTCAGTTGTCCTTTTCATTAGTAAAGCATTATTCATAGACTGCAATTGACTTCAAAAATACCATTTTTTGAAAATAATTGCAGTGCCAGCTTCCAACATAAAGTACTGATATCCGAATTTGTTTTTTTTTTCACTAAAAACTATCTGATAACTTAAGCCAGCCTATGCTTTTAAAACAATTCCTCTGGAATACCGGTGTTTTAGTTCAATATTGTAATGGGCCAAATTTACCTGAGCTTCTTGCTTTTCGACTGACTCATCTGCTCGTTCTTAGGAAGTAAGTCTTCCTGCTATTTATATATCCCAATACCATGAATCAACAGTTTAAAGAATAATGCTCTGACATCTTGTTAAATTGTTCACAAATTAATTTTTCTATAGAGGCTTGTTTGCCCTAGAAAGTAATCCAACAATGAAGTCAATTATGCCTAGATGTCACTTTTTATTGAAGATAAAATAAAATTATTCACCGGTATGTTATTTTGGTCAAGCATATTAGTTTTTTCATTCAAAGATAAGTTTCTAACACTCATGTTTGGTTAAGTATTTTATCAATTAAAATACCACCTACCCACCAAAGTAAATATATAAAACATGAAAAGCAGACAATTACACTATTTGCTTAGAACTAAAATATTGTCATTTTTGTCTACACTCTCGTAAAACAAGCTCTTCCTTTCTCTTTTTCCTAATGAGAGACTGAAAATGAAGTTTATGGTGCGTTACTAGATACATAGCAACAATTCTTTTTCTGCCCAGAAAATAAAATAACGATTATAAAAAGTTCATGCACTGGGTGTATAAGAATGTATAGAGTCATTACCTCTCAGTGTAATATTTTATAATAAGGCATCACTTGTATTATACATGGTGTAATGCAGTTCAATGTAAGATTAGTTGTGGAGGCAGGATATGATTTATATATAGAGTGTGTGGAAAGAATGGCATAATCATATAATGGTCCACAAATTCATATGGTTACCAGTTTCCGTCAGTCATGAATTTAACCATTTAACAAGCATATTTTATTTTTTTGCTCATATTGAAGGCAGAGTATTGTGTTATACATTCTGTCATAAACTTCTAATTTAAGCATTTTAAATATTTATTCCATACAATTTATTTTTCAATACAAAACTATACCAAACGCAGTTATGCTTGGAGTATGAGCGGTATACTAATGACTTCTGAAGATTTCGTTTATCATTAAAACGGGTTTTCATATTTGGAAGTTGAAAAATGACTTTATCCAGACATAACAGGGCGAATAGAATGCCCATAATCAGAGAATCTGTTATGCAGAGGTACTTTGCTATAAGCTTGCTCCAGCTGTAAAAAGTTATCATAAAGGTTTTACTGTTTATAACAGTGCTCACAGATTTAGCGTTCATCGGGGAATCTGATTTTGAGGTTATTGATTAAAAATTTTGATTCAGTATTCCAAAATTTATGTTATTAAATTCAGGATAACTATCAGCAAAGATTAGTTCATAATGGAAAAGAGTGCAAAGGAAAAAAATAAAGTAGTTAATAAATATGGTGTAGAGATCAAAAAACCAGACAAAAAAACAAAATATGATGAAAAATATGCTGATATGTATTTTAAAAGAGCTGAAAAAAATAGATTGCAACAAAATTTTCACATTGCGTTGGAAGATTTCTGCAAAGTAAGAATTCTTATTAACTTGTAAATTTGCTACGACATTTCATGACATAATCTGTTTTCACCTATAGATTGTCACATTATTGCATATGAGAAGTATATCTCCACCTAAATAGTTGAAATTTTTTTTTTCAATGTTAAAACACAATAACTCACTTTAAACTAATAGAATTTTCAATATATATCAAACAATTCTGAATTTCCCAATCTAGATAATAATTTAATGGTTAGTTAATTGGTTCGAGCTATGTTGTAGTCACAATTTTGTTATGTTGGTTTCAAGCCCCATGTCCGCCATTTCTCAAGATAAATTAGAAGGTTGCTTCGCGGTGACTTATTTTTAGCGAATGTATGGGACGGCATTGGCCAGTACGAAGTGAAGTGAATAAAAGAGGGGAGGGATTCGACTCATTTGTGGCCGATTACAATCAATGGCCAGTGTTGTATACCATAATTGCAATATCTTGCCAAAATATGTAATATATATTATTATGTAATATTTTCTTCAAATTATTATAAAAATATATTTTTAAGACACCATGAATCTATGATGTAAAGTAAGGATGGTGTAGCGGTCTTGTTATAAAAGAGTTTTGTAGTAGTAGTAGTCTAAGAGTGCTTATACTATTTGCTCATATTAATTTTATGCATTATTTTCTGCTCATTGTTTATCACTATAATTGTTCGTTGTGCTTTTTTTTTATCTATCATTCTATATAGATGTTTCAAGTGTCTGCCATAAATGAATATAAAAAAAAAATATGCCTAGATGATTTTTCAACCTTATGGAACCTTTATTACCTATGTCTAATGCTAAAGTATACCAATTGCTTACAGTTTGAGTTTTATTTTTCAGGCCCTGAGTATTCAGCCGACAGACAAGAATTGTCTTGTTGCAAGATCAAAGTGTTATCTCCAGATTGGTAATGCACAAGAAGCATTGAAAGATGCTGAAGCTTCACTTTCAGAAGAGAAAGAATTTCATAAAGTTAGCTGCTTTATATAAAAATGGAACGGCCAATATTTATTAAGATTCTGTGATTTTATGGTTATTATTGGTACCTCACATCGCAAACGTGATAATCCGAGTTCAAACCTTATAATACACTAGAAAAAATGTAGATTACCAAATATATGATCAATTGGAGGAACGCCTACCTAACTGTTGATACCCTTGTCTATGAACGATTTCTTGTAAATGATTTTTCTATTATTTTAAATGATTTTCATATTATCTCATTCAGGGCTTATATCAGAAAGCTGAAGCTCTATACCAAATGGGAGATTTCGAATACGCTCTTGTATTTTACCATAGAGGACATAAATTACGTCCAGAACTTCAAGAATTCAGACTCGGAATTCAAAAAGCGCAGGAAGCAATTGATAATTGTGTAGGAAGTAAGTGTTATAAAATATATTCAGCTTTATTTGAATTTGTATTTACGAAATAATCAAGTAACCTCCATGCCAATTATCTAAATTTCCCAATTCTAAATGTTTCGTCTAGTTATTAGTGCTGTAAAGATGTAGCTCAAGCTTCGATTTGAGTTCTGGTCAGTTCTTTGGTCATCCCAAATTCATCATCTGATCCAGGACATATGAGTTCCCTGAATAGGTTCAAGACAGTATATTCAATGCAACTTCACCCTTTCTGTTTTTATAACTTCTCCTAATTTGTCTAAAAATTCAGGTCCATCCTCTGTTAAACTTGAAAACAAAGGTGATTTATCATTTTTCAATAAGATGGATGAAGGAAAGGGAAAAGCGAAACCCAGGGGAGCTTACAGGTTATTTGCACTGTCTTTATCATTTCTTTACATTTTCAATGGCAGAAACTCTACATGGGTATTCAACAAATATGCACTTTTCTCTTGGTTTGATCTGCCTTGTTCAGATGAAAAAATGTTTTTCCAATTTGGTCAATGGACAATAACTTTATTTCGACATGCAAGAAATCATGAATATTTTAACACAAATTATAATACTTTAGGTTTAGGATACAGGATTTCATTGCAATTGACTGACAGAACTGGTTCTAGATTTAGGTTACTATCTTGTTGATAATAATATTCTCCAACGTCCGGAGACGCTCAAAGTGCTCTGCACTCTAGGTCGATTTCTGTGACAAAGATGACAATTAACTGCACAAGTCATTACTTATTTGTTACATACCGTAATTCAGAAATGTTTATATTATTCTGAAACTGAAAATAATGATTTCATGCATAAGTTTTTTGATACTGAATGATTGCACTTGGTATTTTTTAGTATATCACTCATTCTATAACAATTGAACAAGATTGAACAATTTAAATACTCTATTTACACTTACAGAATTATCCTAGAATAGCAAACTATTTGAATACAAATAATTTACTAGACCAGTGGTTATGAACCAGGGTGTCGCGGCACATTAGTGTGCCGCGAAAAGATTTTGGTGTGCCGCAAAGAGATTTCATTTTTGAATTTATTTCAAGTGATTCCAATTTCTAATCCCTTGAATTCCACAAGGCTCATGGCTTTTGCTAACAAACAAAAACGACAAATTTGAGGAGTCATATTCCAGGTATTTGGGTATTGTTTCAATTCTAAGTTTTGAATAATGCGCGCCAGCCGCCAACACTGTATCGTAAAATTGAAAATGTCAACCAAGGGAAAAAATTATTGTGGGAAATTTTTCCCAAATTGGACCAGGGAATTATTATTTGAGAATTCCCATTATTGCCCATTTATTTAATTATTATTTAAACTCAAAATAACATTCCGGATTCACGCAATGACTTTGCAGGTTTTTTATTCACCAATTAATATGAAAATAAAACAGACACAATAGGAAAGTAAAATTAAATAAAGGTCAACTATCGTCTTTATAAATATCCGCATTCCGACGTCAGAAATGATAATATTGTTAGCTTAAAATTGGGATAAAAAAGATAAAAATCAGAATAAAATCCCGAATTCACTCTTTAATAGCCGTCTTTAACATATGTCGCCCATATGAACGCATGGTTCTCCTAGGAAGATAAAACCAAACGTTGCATAAGAGTTAGTCCTTGTAAAAAAGAGAGGATGGGTGGAAATAGCTCACCAACATTAGAATGTCTAGCATTCTGGATGCCCATTGTATTTGTATTAAAAATATCCGGTATTCGACAATTTGTTAAAAATATTCGAATTATTCCATTCGATAAAAATATTTTGTTTTGCCCATTCTTGCGATCTGTAACCATACATTCATTAAATTTAGTAAATTGCACTAATTCACGAAAGCGTGGTGGAATTGACGATTATTTCATATCTCGAACACAGAAACGGTTATTTTTCAGATAGTTTCTGCGGTCTGAAAAGTCGAATAAGGGTTTTTGACATAGTAAATGCTACAATCTTTGCCATCAAATTATGCTCAGGCATTGCACGAAATTCATAACATGAATTGATTCGTTCATCGGGGAAAATTGAACCTATTTGGTGTTTTTAGCGATAATAATTAATTGTTGTAATGAAATACAGTTTGTTTGCCTCTTTCATTTCTTTCGCTAGTGCCGATAATTACATCGTTGAATGATTTTGGCAATGGGAGAAACATTAAATTGTAACAAATATGAATTAGGTTGTGCAAAAGTGAGAATACATGTGATAATAATAAGGCTACACCCAGGGGAAGGTCGAGAAAAACCAAAGCGTATCCTGTCTCGTATTACCAGTGCGGCCGCGCATCTTTTACAATAATGTGAGGTGCTCTGAAGATGGGTCTCATGTACATTATTGTAAAAAAACAGTTATAATATCAGTAACTATTAACCATCTATTTTAAATACAAGATATGTTATATTATCAAAAATAGAATTTCCCTTATCTGATCTTCTATGGTATTTATAATTTTATAGCTAAATGGCTTCAAGAGTAGAAAATGTTCCTGTTTTGTGATAGGTGTGCCGCAAATACTTAAATAGCTCAATAGTGTGCCGCGACAAAAGGTTGGGAACCACTGTACTAGACAAATGATAAATTTAGATTTTTGTTGTTACACTTTTCATGTTCCTCTCATTCCATCCCGTATCTAATTCATCCAGACAACCCAACAAAGCAGCTCAAAAAACAACACGGGTTCATAAAACCAAAAGTGGTACAAGCGATAAAACAGCCAAAGCCTTACTCGGAGAATTATATGCTGACAAAGAATATCTTGAAAAATTATTGAAAGATGAAGGTATATTTACACATTTTTTTTCATTTATTCTTGAAATGGAATGAAATTCTCCAGTAACAATAATGGCATTTATGGCCATTACCAAAAGTTTACGGTTTTGGTTTTAATGTATTCCATTTTTTAGGTCATAGTTCTAAACCAGGGATGACAAAACGTTATGAATTTTTTTTAGTATATCATATGTGTGCGATTCCGTCTTTTAACATATGAATTTTGTGAAACCTCGTTTCAGAAATCGGCTCTGTCGTGATATAAATGCTGCATATGTAAGGCTCAAAACTACATACTATTAACCTAATATTATAAGAATTGCAGAAAAGCAACAACAAGTTCCTCATTGATGCAGACACACACATTCTTTTTTCACAATAAAAATATAATTTTTGACACATTCAGTCTTTCAGATCAAGCTATTGTAGACAGTACAATTTTCTGTCTGATTTTACAAATGTAAAATTCAAGGACGTTGTCATGAAGGAAGCTCAAAGATGTTTGAACAAAGTTTAAAATTTATATCCTGACCCAATTAAATCATTGCAGATTTGGTAAAAGGCAGTTCAGGTGGTATGAGCATATATGACTTAGTGTCATCTGGAATTAATTATCTCGATACAAGAACTGAATTTTGGAGACAACAGAAACCAATGTATGCAAGAAAGCGAGATAAAGCTCTGATGCAACAAAAATGGTCAAACAGGAAAGCAACAGATGCAACTTATGATGATCCGACTAAATTTATATTGAAAAATCTAGAAGAGATTGATCAAGGTTCTCAACTCTATTACAAATTATTTTCTTTCAATATTAAAATTGGGAGCTCCCGAAGTTTGTGCACAGAGATGGCGCACAACCTGAACCTTACTTACCAGGTAAGGTTGTGTGCCATCTTGGTGCACATACTTCGGCAGCCCCTAAAATTGTGCACAAATTGTTAAAATACAAAATGTGTACTTTGTATCTCAGCACAATAATGGCTATTTGCAATTATTTTCTCAGTAATTTTTATTTGACCCCATGGCTGATGGATTTTGAATTTGCTTCAAGCAATCCCACTTGTGTTGAATTTAAGTTGTAATATAAAAATTATGAAGCAGATACCGTATATGCTCGTTTTACAGCCCAATCTTGATTATAGGCCCGTTTAAATAGCCGCCCGTGTGAACAGAACATAAAGATAAATAAGGGCCGGTGCTTGAATACCCGCCCGATGTAGAAGCTGATTTTTTAGTGTTAGAGAACAATGGGAAATAAGTAGCGCTTTTGTCACAACGCTGTTGAATTTTGAGCGCCGGTAGATAACACTCACGCCTCAGGCGTCCAAGTACATAACAGATAGCATTGATTACGTAACACCACAGTTCTCAAACTGGGCGTCGCAACGCCCAAGTGCGTCGTTTCAATATTGATAGGGTGTCGCAAAACTTTTCTTCTTTTGCGGATTTGTACCTGCGGTGCCTAGGAAAAGTCGAAATTTTCGTTATTCTTGTTTAAATCATACTTGAGAACTGGAAATACCAATATATAAATTATTGTAACGATCGAAAATAACAAGCGCCCGTGCTTGAATAAGGGCCGGTTTGAATAAGGGCCCGGTTAGTGAGTTGGTTGAAAAAAATATAGGCCCGGGCTACAAAACGAGCAAATACGGTATACAAAAGCTTGAATCTTGATGAAATATTTTTTCCTCCATTTCAGCATTAGCTGATGGGCGAGCATCAGACAGTCTTACTCTTGCAGACAAGACTCTTCGAACTGTTTTAAAAATGAATGAATCAGATATTCCAAACAAACCCGATGTTGTTGCAAATTTACATAGTTGTGTTGGGAATGCACATCTTGAACTTGGACAAACCGACAAAGCACTTGAACACCATCAAAGAGATTTGGCAATCGCGCATGAACAGTATGTCAATTTATGTTTATATAATAATATTATGTAAATTTTCGTTGCTTTTTAACTTTTTCCAACTTTATTTTGCTACTATGCTATATAGCAATTATATAAGCAACGTAATGCGTTTGTTTCAAACAAACCTAATGTATTTCCGTCCTCAACTTTTGTACTTTCATATATTTTTTCGTACATGAAGTACACTGTACAAGTAGAATTTTCAATTGTTAATTTCCATTTATATTATTTACTTAATATTTGTTAATAATGTGGAAATTACACAGTTTCAAATGCACAAAATTCTGATTTTCTAATTTCACTATAAACGCAACAAATGTTTGGAACGTTCTATATTCACTCGGACCTGAATTCCTTTGGTTTGGCACAGCTTGTCCGATTTTTACATTTAGAGTGAAATGATGGGACTGTGTTGACAATGTGCAAACTTCAAAAAACAACTTTTGTTTCTTTATGTATATTGCCTACTTGTACAGCAGTAAATATTCATTAAAAATCCATTTTTCTTCTTTAAATTCTTTTTCGATTTCTAGTTTTGTGTTATTATTTGATAAACAGGTAATAATTTTTAACTCGCTTGCTCAATTCTATTTAGATTAATAAAATTTATTTAAAATGTTAATATTTATCTAACTGATTTGAATATGCCACTTCCAGTTTTAAAGAATTATCTCGGCACTTGATATTGATTTTTTTATTTGGTATATTTTGGTATTGTACTAAATTGGCATTACTCTGGGGAAAATTTCCTCCTTCATTCATTCAATTATATTTGTATTTCAGCAAATTGTCAGATGCAGAGTCTAGAGCGCTTGATAATCTTGGAAGAGTTTATGCCAGAGTTGGAAAATTCCAAAAGGCAATAGAATGGTAAGTATTATTTTTCAAATTGCAACCTTCTAACTATTGAATCAAATGAAAAATAATATCGTTCATCCACAAATACAAGTTTTTTTAAAATAACTTATCCCCTCAAGGCTTCAGATGAAATATAAAAAATGTATTAAATTTATACAACAGGAGTTTGCCGGCGAAATTTACTTATTGATGTATTTATTAAGTGTACTTACTACTGCTCAGGTAGTATTAAGTCAAACTGTATTTTTTGGAATAAATATGCCATAAAATTTAGTAGGCTATATCATGGATTAATTTTCTGTACTGAATGAATATTTGAAACTAAAATGAATTGCAGGACAGGAATCTTGGATACTTAAACTATTTGATAAGGTTAATTCATGCTGTCTAATATAATTACAGAAAATACAATAATCTTCCGGAGAGATTTTTAAACTTGGCATTTAAATACAGAATTTTTTTACATCAAATTCTTTGAATAGCTGGACACAAAAGATCCCACTTAGTAAATCAGCGCTCGAGAGTACTTGGCTTTTCCATGAAATTGGGAGATGTCATCTTGAGCTTGATGAGTGTGAGAAAGCACGAGAATTTGGCAAAAACTCACTACTTGAAGCAAAAAAAGCAGAAGATGACGTCTGGCAACTGAATGCAAGTGTATTGATAGCACAAGCCGAAGGTTCGTTTCTGAAGTTTTAGTTTTTTTTCTGAAATAAAATTGGAATATTGATCAATGTTTAAGAATGCGAGTCTTTTGTAATAAAAAACTGAATACAACAAAACTATTGCTGAAATTTACTACCAGCAAGCTTTTGTGGCCACATTTGTAGTGGATTAGCTGAATTTTATATCAATCAAAATCTGTTAGAGGTTTTATGAAGAAATCAGAAGAAAGAAATTTTCAAATCAAACAATCATTATCAAGCATGTAATCATTTTCTCATGAACCAGCCAATTTAGCATAAAATTTACAAGGACCAATCAGACTACATAAGACTCTGTTTGTAATTTATAGTTAAACTTGAACAATATGAAGCTGCTGTCGAATCATTTGAACAGTCATTAGAAATGGCGAAGCTTCAAGGAGATGACGCAGCAGAGCAAGCTATTATGAAGGCATTAACTGATGTTAGAGAAAGGTATTTCGATTTCATTTTTTTATTTTCAGTCACGTTAAAATAAGGTAATTATTTAACAGGAGTTCAAATTCTATGGGAAATTAATAGATATAAATTCCTGTATGGTATTCTCATTTTTGGTGGGTTATTTCTGTGCAAATCCAATACGACAACGTTAATATATTAATTATAATGAAATTGATTTCCTGACAGGATTACCAAAAAGAAAGAGGAGAGTGGAGTTGAAGAGAAATCAGGTGAGAAAAATTGGGGGTCAGCTTTTGACACTATGTAATGTTGAATAAAATTTGGTAGGTGCTTTTTAAAACTGCTGGTAGGTTATTTCTTGCACCATATAATTCCATGCATTTGAATCTATCACATGGTTAGATATCTCTTAATCACCGTGGCTGCCATGTGGTTCTCTATACCAGGGCTACTCAACTATTTTTATCGAAGATCCGCATGCAAAACTTCAAAAAATATTTGGGTCCGGTCTTTCCAGAAATTATATTTCGGCACCCTTAAACGCGCACTTCCTCGGCCGACTAATGATTATTAGCTAATCAAGATTAGGGGCTCCCGAAGTATGCGAACCAAGATGGCGGACATCGGAATGTAATATGTGTACTAGGTTAGGGTTAGGCCATAATTTTAGGTCAAAATACTACAGGAGGCTCTTGGCTAGTCTTCGAACTGATAATAGGACAAAAATAAGGAAAATGGGAAAAAAATTATCGCCTAACCCTAACCTGTTACCCATGTTACGTTCCGATGTCCGCCATCTTGGTTTGCATACTTCGGGAGCACCCAAGATTGTTTATTATGACGTTATAATTCTTTCCATATATATTTAAATCTATAAAAGTGATTTTATAAAAGGAAACTTCAAAAGTGGGGCTAATGATCCAAAATAAAGGATTATGCGCGATCCGAACCGAATACCCGAATGGTTCGGATTTGGACCGCGTTCCACCAGTTTAGTAGCCCTGCTCTATACCATATGGCATTTAGGCATTAGCGGATTGGGCTAAGTGTCAGGATTGTGTTCACCGTCGAGTTTGCAGGTTGGAATCCTGTGGGATATTTATGTCTGTGAGGGCCGCTGGTCAGTTGGCACTTTCTCCACTATCGAAGTCCACACATATGTAAGGGGTTAGCTATTCCCATACCCAATTGGTATTCGGTGATTAGGCTATTTTGTTGACTTTTTTTTCCCCTGAATTTATATCAAATATATATTTAAAATTCATCCCACTTTACATTTCATACTGGGGATTTAATTTGACTATGCTATGTGATGTTTATTTTTTGTAATGAAATGATGTCAAACAAAACACAATAATAAGTTTTACTTGAAATCACAGTTTTTGTCACATTCTTATCAGGATTTCGTTTTCATTAATTCATTACTCCATTCGTTATTAAACATGGTGCAACGGTTGACACATCATGCTAAGCTTTAGGAATATGCTTGCCACCCCACCTCTGATTTCATTGCGTGGGTTTGCATGTTTGAATCCTGTGAGGATAATAATGTATCAGAGAATCGCTGACTCCTCACCTCTGTAGGGTGGTTAACATTAACGCTGGTCGATTACGACTTCCTCCGCTATGTATGTATGTTCATTCGTCTCGTAATAGTGATAAATGAATAAATTGGCAATTATTATTATTTAAGCTGTCAAGTTCATGCGTCTGAAACAAATAACTGGCCAACTATTCCCTTGCTCTACATGGACTGGTGAACGGTTGAGGGACCATGGTTCGCCATATGATTAGCAGTTTATCTGCTTTCTCCTCCCCAGATTAAATATAAAAACTTTATCCTAAAATAGACCCAGCCTAATTTACTGAGAATGCAGGAAATTTTGTTAAATACATTAAGTTTTAATTATAATGAATGTAATATGTAGCTTCGGAATAGGACACTTGTAAATATTCATCAATTTTATTCACGTCAGTTTCGTTATTTAAAAACTAAATATATGATCTTTTTATCAAGATTTTATCAGCGGAGGGCAGCCAAGAGCAGGAAACTGTTAGAGGTATTTTATTGTAAAATATGAAATTTACATTTTGTGATTTTCATATTTCAAATATTAGAGAAAGGTAGAAAGTTGAATGATACATGTTATATATGAACAGGATATTTCAATGAGATGTTATTAACTAAAGTGTAGTTTGATTTAGCATAATTACCATGTTTTGAAAAGCAAATTTTTCTGTAAAATGTTATGAGATTTTAGAAATATAATAAGGTTACAAGATAATTTTATCTATTAGGTCTGAAGAAGTCTAGTTTTCAGTCAGATAAGTGTTGGATTTATATAGCATAATATAATTAACATAGCGCAAATTCACCAAATATCATGATTTTATATTTGGTTTGGGTATTAAAAATCTTATTGAAAACGATCGCCGTTACAATAAGTTTTTTTTCGGAATTTACTAGAAGACTGAGAACTCCGTAACAATGCGGCGCTTTTATTTCATAATGGAAGGCTGTAGTAAATTTTTTGTCACCGCGATCGTTTTTTCGGCGGCCCACATTCCAATTATTGTTCCAACCACATTCCAACTATATTGAAACTATATTAATATTATATTATTCACTAGCAAATATTAATTCTCACGCAACGGTGGATATAGTAGTTTGATTTTTATATTTTGGACAGAATTTTGAGTTCACATCGGCGAAGAGGTTAAAGACAACTATTTAGGACATTCCAATTAATGTTGTTAAACTATATTAAAACAGTTTTTTCATTCATTAGCAAATATTAATTCTCACGCAACGGCGGATATCGTAGTTTGGTTTTTATATTTCGAACGGAATTGTGAGTTCACATCGGCGAAGATGTTAAAGACAGCTATTGAGACATTCCAAATAATGTTGTTAAACTATATTAAAGCACTTTTTTTTATTCATTAGCAAATATTAATTCTCACGCAACGGCGGATATCGTAGTTTGATTTTCATATTTCAAACGAAATTGTGAGTTCACATCGGTGAAGATGTTAGAGACAACCATTAAGGAGTGCATTCACAAAACGAATTAATTTTATTGACTTTTATCTTCTGTGTAGGATTTGTTTCACAGTTTGTAAATTACGCTCCCAATTTTAAGCGAACTATATTATTCAATAATAACATTTCTACGTGATCAAAATAGTGATATTTCTTCCCAATACCTCAAGAAATTTTCATAAAATACATTATTTACTTGTCTTACTTATCTGTTTCCCATTTCAAAATGTACAAAAACGGCGTTGACACGCTTCATGCAAAATCGCTTTCCAATGCGCTGTGATTTATATTATTTAAAGTGAATAAGTAAATCGGGAAAAGAAAGTCCTCAAATTAGCTTATAACCCATTTTCTCAAAAATTTACGACCCAAGTAACCCCCCATTCTGCCCATAGGTATCAGCCCCTTTACACAACTTGATGTAAATAGGCGAACAAAATTAGTTACCTCTATATTGGTACACTTCTGGAGTCATTTTGGAATTACCTCAAGAAATTTCCATAAAATACATTATTTACTTGTCTTACTTATCTGTTTCGACGTTTCTGAATTTACAAAAACGGCGTTGACACGCTTTATCGTTTTTACCTGTTAGTGATAGCCCTCGGATAATTCTTACCTGTAACTCCGTAACAATGCGGCGTTTTTTATTTCATGATTTTGTCATAATCGAAAGCTGCAGTGAATTTTTGTCACCACAATAGATTTTCGGCGGCGACATTCCGATTAATGTTGTTAAACTATATTAATGCACTTTTTTATTCACTAGCAAATATCAAATATCAGGCAACGGCGGATATCGGGGGTTTGGTTTTTATATTTCGGACAGAATTGTGAGTTCACATCGGCGAAGATGTTAAAGACAATTAATAAGGAGTGCATTCATAAAACAAATTAATTTTATTCTGATTTCTATCTTCTGTGTAGAATTTGTATCACAGTTTAATGATTACGGTCCCAGTTTTAAGCAAACAATATTATTATTACTGACCCCGGGATGCGATATTTTTAAAGCGGATAGTTGACATTTCTATGCTTTTAATTTTAGGTCGTGTCCGTGTTATTTTCGTATTAAATAATTCTCAAAAACTCCGTAAATTGGCAATCTCTTGAATACCCAATGTTGAGTATTCGCGTAACACAGCTTTTGGTTAAAACACTGATACTAGCCACGTAAATAAATCGGCAATAATGACTTTTCTACGTGGTCAAAATAATATTTCTCCCCGATATCTCGAGAAATTTCCATAAAATACATTATTTGCTTGTCTTACTTATCTGTTTCCCATTTCAAAATGTACAAAAACGGCGTTGACACGCTTTATGCAAAATCGCTTTCCAATGCGCTGTGATTTGTATTATTTAAAGTGAATAAGGAAGTCGGGAAAAGAAAGTCCTCAAATTAGCTTATAACCCATTTTCTCAAAAATTTACGACCCAAGTAACCCCCCAACCCCCTGCCCCCCATCCTGCCCATAGGTATCAGCCCCTTTACACAACTTGATGTAAATAGGCGAACAAAATTAGTTACCTTTATATTGGTACACTTCTGGAGTCGCAAATAATTTATACAGAAACGTTATCGAAGCACCTCCCATCTTCGTGAAATGATGTATCGCCAGGTCTTCACCATTAATACTGGTCTTTGATATCTCAGAATCAACCGAACGTTGCCAACTGTATATAAGTATCACAGCAAACTAATCCATATCTTAACAATTTAAAATTCATTACTATTTGGGACATATAAACAGCCGACAGGATGGTTTAATCATACGGCGTACTACTGCCTCTCGTCCGGTAAAGGCTGAACTAACTATAGAAGTTCAAAAAAAATTTTAAAAACATGGAAAGTGAAATGTATTTCATAAAATAGAGCATGGTCTACTCAACTGCTGTCTATAGATAGCACCTTGTTCGTAAATTTCACGTTGTTTACCGCATAAAATTATCCGTTTCGGTGGAAACAATGTGTTCAGTAAAACTATTTATCCTCCCTTTGTCATGATTTTTTTTCTCTCCTTTTTTTATGGTGAAAAAATTTCCTTTTGTATGCAGTTTACTATTATTTTTTATACTCTTATCTTTAAATATTTCATTATTTTTAAGATGGACAATCAGAAGAAGAAATAAAAGAAGAAACTGAATAATTATATGTGAAATTGATTTTTATCAATTTTATTTTGTTGGATATTGTTTGATTAGTATTCATGAACATGTAAACATTATATTTTTTCATATTCTGTAGATATATCACTGTTCATTTTGCTGTTGTTGACGATATTTTTGTGAAGAGTCTTCTTTAATTTGGTACCAATGCCAAACTTTAAAAATTTTGGTTGGACATGAACCAATGATAAATTGATATCTCAATTTATCTTTGGCCCTTGGTCGACAAGCACCACCGCTGTTTAAAGTATTATTTGCTTTCATAAATGTGCCTTTTATTACAAAGATATATAGTAACCACAAAATTGACCAACTATATGAAATTAGCGCATTGACGCTAGCCATCACAACATCAAACATATGAGGAACCATACGGTTTAAATTCATGGATACAGCCACAAAAATTACTTTTCAGTGAAGATTGGCGGGGGTATATAAACTCTCTTAATTCTATTGTAATTTATTCACTAAAGCGTTATTTATATATTACGTAAAATGCGAGGATATACCCTATTTCAGAAGGGCTGCGCGTAATGTATAAAAGCATTACAGAGAAAAAGCATTACAGCCACTCCGAGCTGTTAACAGGCTGGAGTTTTGCTCATCAGTTTAAATGTATATATAATGGTCGTTAAATTTCTGTGGTTAGCATTTTTTCGCATAGTTACGGCGACAAGCTGGACGTTTTTCTTATTTGTGTCGAAGTCAGAAACGGGGACGTATATACATGCTTATGCCAGGCTCGGTTATTGCTGATCTAGTTATTCCGACATAGGTAAAGAAAATGGGCATTCGTTCCCATACACAGGAAAAAAGTTTAGGCGATAAAATACTTTTAATTCTTATGGCTAAATTCGTATTTGCGCAATTAGGTGATCCAGGATGCCATTGTCGTATCTTTGTATCCCTTGTTTCACGTGGAAGTAGAAATACAAATTTACTCCATCGCTAATTGTCATAGTCCTGCATTTTTGATATAATGGCCATTTGCAGTCAGTGTGACGTTTTAGTAATTATCAAAAGTGAAAATTTAAACTGAAACAGAATAATTTTTGTCAATTCCAAATATTTTGCATGGAGTTTTAATTTTTTTTATCCCAAAGTGTCGACTGCAATACTCGTCCGAAGAAGTCAGTGCAATTGTATACAGCGGTATCGCGCATAAAACCAACTTTATTTTACTGTTAGGTATACTGGTGGCACATTATAGTTTTAGTTTCTATATCATGATGCTCAAATGTGTATTAGCCAATTTCACGATTTGTTGCAGGATTTTATTTCCTACTGTGTAGTTGTCATATATGCCCCTGATCCACACATGAAAATTGATTCGATATGCCGGGATTAAGGGTGTGTGGCATGTTGATAACATGATAGTAGATTTGCTAGAATAAGCAGCTGTAGAGTTGGACATTGCAAACTTCGGTTGCTTATTGCTCCATGGTCGTATAAAGAGAACCATGAACAGGCGTGGTTACATTCTGGAAAGAATAATTATACTATTTAAGTATATATTATTTAAAGTCTAATATGCCAAAGTCTTCATAAAAATAACTGCTCAAATGTAGGAATTGGATAGAAATTTCCAAAATGCTTGTAAGATTTAGTGGCGTTGTCGCATAATATTCGTTCGGCGAAGTGATTTCTAATGCATTTTCATTTTAGAATTGTTGCATACTAGCATGTCGATAATGACTCCATGTTACGTATAATATATATATGAGTATTTTATACCACTTGCCTGGTTATTCTGAATCTATCTGAAACTATTAACCATAAAATCAAAAATAAACACACTTGGTATCCTACCTAAGAACTAACAACAATTTGACATAAACTGGACTATAGACTGGAAATCTAGCTGAAACAACCACAGCTGCAACCAATAGTCTAGCCCAGGGTGGTCGAATGTTGTCGGGGGCCACAATATTAGTTTTGTGTTGTTCACGGGCCACATCATTCCCAAGACATTTTATTTTTATTTATCATTAATCAATCTTTTTATATCAACAACTATGTTGGTGGTTAAAATTCTCTAACTAAAAGTCTTCTTATATCAACAATTATGTTGGTGGTTAAAAGTCTCTGACTGGCCAATGTTTCGCCACCCAACCGGTCCCTTGTAGGCTATTATATTACAGATAGGGCTACCAACCGTCCCGGAATGGCCGGAACAGTCCCGGAATTAACGTCTGGCGTCCCGTGACTCGGGCTGGGTAACGAATGTCCGGGCATTTACTGACAACTAAGGCGTTCTAAAAAAGAAAAACGTGTAAGCGTATCGGCTTCGTTCAAAACTGCAAACCGATGTAATTCACGCAAATATGTTTTAATGAAATAAAAATGATTAGCCTACATCTGTATGGTTCATTCAAATAGAAGTGAGTTGAAACGTGTGCATAAGACATTTTTCGTCAACCGTGACGTCCTGATGACATAATACTATCGAATACACTGAACAATTACAAAATAGATTATACCATTAAAATAAATTTCGTTGGAAGACAAGTAAAGGTGAAGATAGGATCAGATTAATTAGTTTACTCAAATTGATACTTAGCTTAGTAACAAAGATCTTCTTAAAGTGGCATAATCACAAAACAAAATATCAGAAAGATTGATTTTTTATGTGATAAATATTTCAATCTGATTGGCACAAATTGTACATTTTCCCTGTTTTAGGTTTTGTTTTGTTTTTGCATTAATGCCCAAGAGAGTTACCATTTCACAAGTTTTTCTGAGTATGGTAAATTTATTTACAGTTTGTGAAAATAACGCTGCATCATCATCCCTCTCGGGCGCGCACTGTTGCTTTTGATGTCTTCGTGCTCCACAAGCTTCTGTTTCATCAATTTTCAAATTTTAGACATTATGGTTTCCCGGAATGGGACAAAGTTGGCAACCCTAATTACAGACTCTTTACAACGGAGAAAGTGCTTTCTTAAATGAAGCGCTCCCGAACATAGATAACATGCCGTTTTAGAATATATTCGTCTGACAATGACACAACTTGCAGACATTGCAAGCATTGGAGCTTAGTTTTCCACAATCAAGTAATTTTTTTATCATATCGAGTTTTACCATACCAAGAAATTGTTTGAATTGGTCATCTTTCTTTTATAACTCATGTTTACAAAGCGACTTGCAAATCACTGCAGATTAATCGATAATATTGCAGGGTAATATTGCGACATTAATTGACATTTACTAAAAAAAATTTTGACATATAGGCACCAATTTCAGTATATATAAATCACTGTTTATGCTGATTACAAAAATACAACGCGGCGGGAGTATAATGCTAGGCTGTAGCGGAGTGGTGCCAATTATTCGTATATATATATATATATTGTAAAGTTGCACAAGCAAATTGATTCAAATAAAAAATAATTAAATACACTTATCACAAACATAAACAAAAATATAATAAAAAAATGGAAGTCAATTGGGTCAATCTTTTTTCAGGCAAATACCACGCACTGTTAATAATAAGTGATGAAAAGTAATAAAGTTCACATAAAATAACTATCCTTATGTACTCGCTACAACATAGTATAGCAAATATATTACTTTGGTACAAACCCCCCGCCCCTAATGCAAAATTTTAGAAATACACCCCGCCACGTTTTAAAATAAAAAAAATAGTAATTATCAAGTTGAAATGATTTAAAAATTTGAATTTTCTGCACATTATGCATTTCTACACCTAACTGGATAATTGGTGCTCCCGAAGTATGCGAACCAAGATGGCGGACATCGGAACGTAACATGGGTAACAGGTTAGGGTTAGGCGATAATTTTTTTTACAATTTTCCTTATTTTAGTCCTATTATCAGTTCGAAGACTAGCCAAGAGCCTCCCGTAGTATTTATACCTAAAATTATGGCCTAACCCTAACCTAGTACACATATTACATTCCGATGTCCGCCATCTTGGTTCGCATACTTCGGGAGCCCCGGATATTTACTAATTTTTTCTTCGTATACGTGGCGGGGATGTTTTTTTAAATCTCTCAAATCTTTTTCTTATCCGGCAAAAACAATATGTTCTATCCACGGGCTACAGGCCTGTGACCTGGATGTCGCACAACAGCTTATAGCCAGAATATAAATTGTTATGACCAACACCAAACGAATATATTACAGACCAAATAAGAAGACAAATCATAGTTTATAGAGTTTTTTAATGAAATAGATGAGCTTGGTGTTCTTCAGCGAGTTTTTTATTGTATCTAAAATTACCCCGTTTACTGGTGGAAAGGCGATTTCGTTGTTTTGATAGCAATAGTAGCACGGCTGAAAACCCCTTTTTCACCATATAATAGGTCGGAAATGAAAGAATCCAGGATTCTACCTCCTCAAAAACCGCCGTGTACTCTTGCCTTATAGTATTTCACTTCCTAAATTCACCCTATTTCACATTAAAATAATGAAAACGAAGTTAATTTTCCCGAATTTATAATAATGATTTTCGTACATCTCATTCATTCGTACAGCATGATGACATGCACCAAAATACTTTGGTAAAATTCATCCCCGATTCCTCATCCTACCACGGCCTCCAGTCCATAATTAATCAGCCATTTATTTTTGGATTCATGGACTCGGATGTGGAAGAAGTCGTGATCGACTACGGCCCAGGGGTCGGCAAATTTTATGTCGCTCGCGGGACAAAATTCAGGGTTGCCAGTCTTTTGCGGGTCGCATATATTTTTTGAAAGTTAAAAACGGAACAGCGCGCGAAAACTGCGACAATTCGTGAACTCAACTCAGTCGTCTTCTCAAAAAAATATTACAATGACATTTAATGTGACACTGTCTTGTTGCTGCATCACGCTGAATAGCTTTACGACGCCAAAATTGGAACATTTTCTAAATGGGCATCACTAATCCCAGTTCTTTGCTTGTTCATTTTTGAAAAAAATTGATCGCACAAAATATGTACTTCCAAACATCGAAGTGAATATTTTCGCATGATTTGTGAAATTTTGATAAAGATTTCCTTTAAGAAGATACATTCTTACAAAAATTAAGCAGTGATGAATGTCTCGAATAGAATATGAATTTTCTTTTCTTATTGCATTGCAATATATTCGAATATTGACTGCGCTATTGAACCCCTGCCCTCGGCATAAACTTTTCTTCGTGTTTCCATTTGTCTAATTATAATTAAATAGTGGGCTCGTTGAACAAGTAGCTGTTTAATAGAATTTTTAGGGTATAATAAAATTTAGTCCAAACGTGTCTCACGATAAATTCTGTTACGTAAAAAAATGTAATTTACTCCTCCTAGACTTCCTTGTTTACTTCGTAACATTGGCCAATCACCAAGATGCAAAAACGTAACGATGCCCCCTTTCACATCCGCTCACTCAGACAGATTTTCAGGCGTGGTC